TAACTAATATTTCGTAAAGTATAATTAGTTCACATAAATATTGGGGATCATGTTCAATATCCGAAAACAAAGAAAGAACTGGCTAACAGAAAAGGTTTAGTATATACGTGACTTCTAGATCGTTTATTGATACTTGAGTAAAATATCAACATAACTACATGCATTACTCTGACAAATCTTTTAAACAGTTCACAGTAAGACAGAATGTGTATACTCAGGAGTAGATTATTGTAATCTGACTTTATTCATACTTAAGGATTAAATAGTTGGCGTCCCAAAGTTAAACTAAACATCATTATAATTATCAGTAACACGAGTGCTTACGAATAATTTGCGCTACTATCTGAAGTTTATGCTGATGATTTCGTTCAGAAGAACAATGAAAGCTCCACAACCAAACCATCTATCTCAGAGAATAAAAATCCATCAAAATTTACGCTTTGTGTTAATAAATAATAAGTTTGTGATTATCGTAAAATGTATACTATAAAAAGTATTGCTAATTGACTTAGTCAGTAATCCACTAAGCCCTTTTACATGTTAATATGTAACCACTTTAATGTACTTCGTTTTTTGTAATAATTTCTCCCCATGGTGAATAAAGATTTTAATAAGGTCAACAACTTGAAAGTATTTCTAATCTTTTAGATAAGTAAGAGAATGATTGGTAGCTCTATGAAATACAATATAATATGATAATGCTTGATATACGTGGGTCGTATTTAGATGGCAGTTAGAGGTAGTCAACAGGAAACCCTGGACCCGGGTTTCGTGCTACTTGGCACTCGTCGGCAATGTGTAGCTGTAATCTTGAGGGAACTGGTGCTCCCTGGCGGATTCGATCTTGTGCCACCCAGCTTCACAGTCAGAGACGTTACCACTGAGCTATCCGCGTCGTGACTAACCTCCTGTAGGACTGAGATGTAATCACAATTGATTGATCATTGGGTGGTGATCGATAGCATTCGATCTGCACTAATAAGGACTAGACAAGCATGACATTGATCACCACCCAGTGATCAATCAATTGTGGATACATGGATCGTATTTGATCCAGATATACGATTTACGATCAATAGTTGAAAGTCAAAAATTAAGCCAGGTAGTAGTTTAATTCAACCAATTCATAGAGTAGAGTTAACAATGAAACAAGAATAGAAATCAATAATAGATAGGAATTTACCGTAATAAATAGTGTCACACATATGTAAACTTAAAGTTCTGTTCATTTTCGTTTATTGATCAATCAAATCGTACTTTACTGATACCATATCAGGTACATTTTGGAAATTCAATAAATTTTAAGAAGAATTTGAGCTTCATTCGAATTCATTTAAGCGTATAAATCTGCTTAAACAACTTTCATAATATAAAATGATCTATTGACTTATCTATCGTTTATATGATTGTACCAGTCGAGATAATAGATTTATTATATTTGTTGTAGAATGTGAAAATGAGAACTTAGATCTTTAAAATGTAAGGTAACATCTAGGTACTTAGCAATGACTTGATCTTTATTCATCATAAAACCTCATAGTCATAAAGAAGTAATCTCCTAGTCACTTATGAGTTCAAGAAAATATCTAGAGTAAACTACTAGAAATATGAGATGATAGAGAAGATTTGCAGCTCAGTTGGTTTCTTTCAAACCATCCATCTCAGAAAATAAATCTCCATGTAGAATTAAAAATATACTAAATCTTGGCTTACAATAAAGCTGATAAATCATTATTGTTAAGCGTTTAAATAAAGTTACTTTGGTGGTGTTTTGTTCTCTGAGCTGGATGGTTTGGTCGTGGAGCTTTCATCGTTCTTCTGAACGACATCATCAGCACAAACTTCAGATAGAAGTGAAGTTTGTGCTGATGATGTCGTTCAGAAGAACGATGAAAGCTCCACGACCAAACCATTCAGCTCAGAGAACAAAACACCACCAAAATCATCCACCTGAGCTACAAATCTTCTCCACCATCTCAATAAAGTTACTGTTATCTTTCTAATTATCATATGGTTTAGACAATGCAATTAACATTACAAACTAGTTATAGTCATTTAATGCTGTTATGTTTTACTAAAAAAGGATCCTAGATACAAGCATGGTATCTAAACATTTTGTAGCTCTATATTTCATTAAAGTATTACGCAATTATAAACATTCTGGAAATCAATATTTCTGTATGACATTTTGAACATATCAACAATCTAAAATGATTTCAATTCAAACGTTTGACTATTACACCCCATAGTCTTTTACTTTTGTTTTAGAATGCCTAGTGTTCTTCACTAATCGCTTGAAATTTCTACGGTTATCAGCCGAATCCAAAACTATTTGTTGAATTTTGTCAGTAGTTCCATCTGCATATTTTACAAATAAATATTCGAATCTTTGGGGGGGGGGCGGAATCATAGATGAACACTACCGAGGAGTCATATACTAGAACGAAATGGCCATTCAGTACTTCTACGTTTGCCATGATGGTCTAGCTCATAAACTCAATTACTAAATTACTGCTATCTCTACAAAACCCTCTGTTTGAATACCATATCTCTTAATTTTGAATGAATCGCATAACATTCATACCTGATAGAATTTAATACTAAATTGATAGATTTAGTTTTGTCCTTATTATTATTGTTATTATAAATATTAATGAACAAATTAAAATACATTTTGTCTAATTTATATCATTAACTCAATGCATGTTTTATAAATATGAACAAGGACATTTTGAAATACTTCTATAAACTATATATGGACATGACCCCTAAACCGATTGAATAGAATGGTATAATTAATTATGAAAGTACATTAGTTGAATTGTACAAATTAGTCAATCATAGTTTCATTGTGATTAGGAATGTTTACCTACATACTATGACGAAATGAGAATTATAAACCAGTATAAGGAATTAGAATTATGATTTATAGTTGATAGTTAGGGATAGGGATTAGATTAAGAGTTTTCATCACAAATTGACATCAGTTTTAATGCTGAAACTCTACTTGACTGAATAAATGAATTAATTTCGCTGTAAAAATCCAAGATCTATTATCTGATTAGTCCGTCTATAACTTATGATCTCGCCATCGTTATATATTATTTTCGAACAAATTTACAGAATGGAACATATATTATCTAAAGGAAGCTTCAATAGTCCATCTTATCATTCATATTAATACTTAATGATAATTTGAATGGTTAAGATCATGAGTCAGTTGAAGCTAGACCACCATGGGAAACCTGGAAGCACTGGACGGCCGTTTCGTCCTATTGTGGAACTCCTCAGCAGTGCGCATCCACGACCTAACCCCTTGCGAGATTCGAACCCAGGACCTACTGGTTTCGCACGCGAGCACTTAACCACTAGACCACTGAGCCGGCATCCAACGGTGACTCATGATCTTGACCGTTGAAATTACTACAATCTCCACAAAACCCATCTAATTTAATGATAAGCTTCAATGTTAAAATAGACTATTACAGGTATGATAATGTCAATTCTATAGTAAAATACAATTGTTTCAAATGTTTCTCATAATAAATTACCAGCCATTGGAATTAGTTCCTTATAACACTTCACATATCTATATCAATCCGTTGTATGAATAATTAGACAACAGTTTCGAATTGAACTAACAACATTAAACTTACTATTCTTCAAATTATAAATTATAACACCAAAATAAAACAACCCCGATACTTTTATTTGTTGGATATCACAATTCCTGGAGATTCGTTACGAATAAATTGAATTTATTTATCAATAAAAAATGACTATTTAGAGCCGACAAAACACTAAACTAAAAGTTTCATAATACTGAATATGAGATGTAAGAGATCCTATTGCTTTCCTTCAGCAATCTCGTAATTTTTGTGATCTTAAATTGTTTTCACAAATATACTTTAAAATAAAACCGTTTATTTGAATCATTCAATTGTTGTTTAGGATTTCAATTGTTCAGTCTCTTATTGACATAGTTGCAACCTGTACGGATAGTCTTAATTCGCAAGCTTTATAAACAAAAAATAGGATCCAGATTGGTGCGCATTTCGTCTTATTCAGGACATATCAGCTGGATGTATCTACATCAGTATATTTTGGATTTTTCACAGCCTTTTTTTGATTTCACAACAAAAATATCTACAACTATTTAGTCATTGAGAAATGAACCTAAATAAACCTTTGAATGACTTGCATTTAATATGATCAAGATTCATATTAACTATCATTAGATAAATAAATGAACCTGAACTAAAAATCTTCTCCATCATCATCTCAAATAAATCAACCTATTTATTTACATTTTTCTACTTCTACTTCTCACTTACCTTTATTCTAACTAATAACCTGAAAAGTATTCATTGTAACTATAGTGATAACATCTAAACAAGATTAGATTCATTCAAACTCAATGGAGTAAAGAAAAAAGAGAAGCCAAAAAAAAGATTTTTTCGATAACAACAACAACAAAAAAAAGAAAAAAAACAATAATTTTTTCCATTAAAAAAACTTTATTTTCTTCAATAATATAATAATAATAATAATAATTATTATTATTGTTAGTTATTACAAGCATAAATGAAAGAACATTAAGGTATAATTGATATGTATATTGTTTTTTAATGTCGATTGACATTAAATAAATAATAATGATGATAATAATAATAATAAGAAGAAGAAGAATGAAATTGTTACTATCATCATTATTGTAACTATGCATAGAAATGACAAAGATGCCCAGAACACATAGTAACAAGAATTGTCTGTTAATATGATCATTATTATTATAATGAAATAGAGTTAAATGTATCATTATCATGTAAAAGATTATAATAAAAGTAATTGAAATAAATGACTAGAAACTTATTAACTATTATGTATACAATTATAATAAGCAAAAAAAAGAAAAGAAAAGAAAAGAAACGAAACGAAAAGGAAAACAAAAACAATATGGAAATGACTAGTATTATTATTAGTATTATTATTACAATGTTTTAAGTACAAGATGAATAACAAATTTTAGAACAACCGGGACGACATAATAAATGACACATTAGACCACATTTTGAATCATTATTATTGATAAAATCTTTTCTTATAGATAAACGTGAATCAGTTGATTTAGAATGACGTTTACGTTTTAATAATGATGCAAATGGATTACGATATGTTGTTGATAATTGTTGATTATCTATTAAACGTTTAGACCGATGTGTTGTTTCGTGTTCACCTTCTTTTATATCTTGTACACTTTCAGTTTCTTCAATAAATTGTTCAGGTATAGATGAAAATTGTATTTGTTGTGGATAGAATCTACGATTAATAGTTATTTGTTGAGTAATATGTATAAACCATAATAATAGAATCGTATATATAAATAATAATTGCATTATTCTTTATATTGTGATTCAATTATGAATGGTTAATAAACCTTAACATGACAAAATTTACACTTTATATACTATTTTAAATGTTAATAGTATTATTATTAGTAGTAGTAATATTGTAAATAAAGTTTACCGAAATGAACACAATTTCATTGGTTCAATTAAAATGTATTAACTTATCCATGAATTTTGTTGTAATCCTGTTTTTAGTTCTTTTTTTTTAATTTTTCGTTGTCAGCTAATCACATAAATAAAATTTAACATTTCGATTATGCATAGTTTTATCTCAATGTAACTATGCACATATGGGATGTTCTGAGAGATACAGAGAGAGAGAAAGAGAGACAATTATAACTATTCATCTGTCTATGGTATCTATGGTACCTCCCCCTCCCGCTCTATATCATTTAGCCAATCAACTGAATTGTGGATATATACAAATAAATTTGTGTTATTATAATTATTCTGAGTTATAAGGCATTTCGAGACATTCATTTATAAACCGGTTTTTGTATTCAATGACCTGGAATTATTGAATTTTGTAAAACAAAAAAATTTTTTTTTAATATTTTAAATCGATGATATAAAGATGAATAATTCTCTTATATTAAATCAAACTATACTACTAATTAAGGCTATATCGAGGCAATCTCCTTAGGATGCACATATGCCAACATGAGACTAATCAATTGTAGTCCTAAAACAACAATGAGAAGATACAAGTAAAACAACACCAAGTGAATTTATACTACTACTATATGGGAATTACGAAACTTATGCCAAAGCATTTAACATACATCACTGGTTAACAAATTCTGTCATGTTTTGATGATTTTACGGTTATAAGAATGAAAGAATTTAGAGAATGCTACTTTTAATGGAGTTTATAATTCAATTGTGATCATTTGCAAATAACAACTTGATGTAATCTCTGTTTCTGAAGCAACTGTTCAAGAGGGATATAGTCAATGTTGTACTACAGGATAGAGTGACTAAAGCAATGAAGTTAATCTTTTATTTGAAACTTTATCAGTTATGTTTCCGTTCGACAGTTGGTGATTCCTCAATTAACGGATACGTTTCCTGGTTCTATGACATCCATGTATATCTACGAATTCATATATTCTTGTGGATAAAAATGTATTTGGAGTACAACTAAAGAAGTGAGCCAAAGAGTTAGTGAGCACCAGCCACCTTCGTCATCTGGAATGGGTATGTTCAAAACAATACACAGCTCCATTCTGTCACACTTGGTCGACACTGATTGTGTGGTAAACAGAAACAAATAACTTGGAGTAATTTACGAAGCATTTTCTTCTTCATGGCCGGAGTATAACAGAAGCTCTCCTGAAGCTAGTCTTTGTATTCCAACATACGTTCAATGTGTTTCACTGATTCCAAGCAACTCCACGTTGTATCTCCTCATTTCTGTAACAATTTAACTGACTCTCACGGTCTCCCACATTGTACGAGCATTCCATGTACATAAATTAATGGTTGCTCTGGTTGTCAAAAAGGGCATCAGCCTCATGACTTCCAAAGGGACTCGGCTTTCATCATGAGGCGTCATAATTCTTCAAAATGAAGACTTTCTAACTCTCAGGGCAGAGTTTAAATGGTTTGATTAATTCTTTTCTGGTTAGCGTTTTTTTAGCGAGTTAGTTTTCTACAGGATTTCATGCTACGTAGTCTGCCTTGGACTCATCAAATGAGTACAACATTTAATATAAATTGTCACTGAATAAATTATTACAATCTTGAGCGTTGTCTGTGCACAGACCAAATCGCAACACTACAGATCATTGTTGGGCAATCAGTTGAATGGAACTCGTCACTATATACCAACTTCATTGACTATGAAAAATCATTTGATGGCGTGGATAAGAGAACCTTATGGAACCATCTTTGACACTATGGATTAAGTAGCTGTGAATATCGTCAATATTATCCAAAATTCATTCGATGGACTACACTGCAAAGTTGTGTATAGAGGAAAACTGACAGACTAATTCTGAGTGTGGACCGGTGATAGAAGAGTTTCCTTATTTTCGCCCATTCTCTTTCTTCTGTAGGTTGACTGAATTATAAAAATCGTATTTCAGGGGAAGCACGGATATGTATGTGTATACGGTGTAAGAGCTAGGTCGAATCCTCTAGCTCCAAGTAGTTTGTGTATATATGAAGGCAGACCGTGAGGGCGCATCAGCAGCCTCTGAATCAGAAAGCTTCATTATATTTAGGGGAAAAAGCAAGAGCCTCAATATTCACAGGAGATAAGATAAAATTTTAAAATACAACACGAAGAGCAACAACCAGATTACACTTGATGGAGTAGCTTTGGAAGAGGTGAAAACGTTTACGTACATGGACAGCATCATTGGTAAACATGAAATATCTGATTCAGATGTTAAAGCACGAATTGGTAAAACAAGGACAGCATTCCTACAGTTGAAGAACATATGGAACTCACAACAACTGTCAACGGGTATCAGTACGAACGTCAAGACATTTCTACTGTACGGAGCTGAGACTTGAGCAACTATCACAACCATCATCAAACATCTACAAGTATTTATAAACAATTGTCTACACGGAAGATACCGGATATACGTTCGCCAGATTCCATGAACAACAGCGTACTGTGGGAGAGAACTAACCTACTTCCAACTGAAGAGGAAGTCAGGAAAAGACTATCAAGGTGGATACGACATACATTACAGAAACCACCAGACTGCATCACGAAGTAAGTCCTATCTTTAAATCGTGAATGGAAACAGAAATGATGAAGACCAAGGAACACTGCGTCGGGACTTGAAATCAGACATGAAAAGGATGAATGTCAACTGAATTATTATTGATATAATGTCATATATCAGTATGAATGGAATCTTAAACAGCTGAACAGAAACCACAAAACACCAATAGAATTAATATTATTGTGCATTAATTATCATTTTAGTTTTATCAGTATAGGGTCGTGGAGATTATTATATTATTGACTGAGATCAAGAACTGATTGATGTTAGACCACCATTGAAGACCTGAAAGCACTGGACGTGGATGCGCACTGCTGAGGAGTCCCCCAATGGGACGGAACGTCCGTCCAGTGTTGCCAGGTTTCCCATGGTGGTCTAACATTAATCGGTTTTTGATTTTATTTTTATTCAAATTCGTAAGATGAACTAATTTTATGAAGTATGTAAAGTGTTGTATACAATGAACATGTATCCCACTTTATTGACTAATCTCTAATATTTTACATAAGGTAATCGTAGTTTTCACACAGAAAACATTTATCCACATTAGGTATGGGTATATTGAGAAACGATCTTGGATCAGACCACCTGTAATTACAGAAATAACTTACCTTTTTCACCTCGTTTTTTTGGAGCCAAAGAGCTGAAAATAAAATGCGTATATGAATTGTCTATGTACTTATATATTTCGTTAGGATGAGAATTGTTTTGTTACTTACCTACTTACTTATGCTTGTTGCTCCCAATGGTGCATACGCTACCGACCAGTATTCTCTCGTAGTAAACTAACTCGCTAAAAAACGCTAACCAGAGGATTGATTTATACTGATGAGAATTTTTTCCACTCTTGTATAGTTATTAGTATTCCTTTGAGTAAACATAAATTCCTGTTAAAAATCTATACAAAAACATACAAAAAACTTTAAATGTTATCCTATGGAATTCAGTCTTTCATTTATGAGTTCTAAAATTTATACAATATATGTTGAGTAGTGACTGTCTTCAAGAGGTATTTCCTGGAGTTCTAGTGAGAAGCAATGACCAGTTGAGTTCAACTGGGTCTGCTGTGAGATAGTAACTAACTGAAGACAATGGAGGACGGTGACCCAATTTCGTGGATTGTTTGAGGTTAGACATTGACACCCCTAGATGTCGACTAGGTGGTACACCGGTTAGGCGTTCGCACGCGAGACGATAGGTCCTGGGTTTGAATCTGGTGAGGTGGGATCGTGGATGAGCAGTGCTGAGGAGTCCCATACTAGGAAGAAACGGCCGTCCAGTGCTTCCAGGTTTTCCATGGTGGTCTAGATTCAATTGACCCATGATTTCAACCCGTGAAATCTCCACAAACCCCCTTCTGACAAGCAGTATGTATCATCAGTCGAAAGTGAAATGCCTGGCAGCAGAAGGTTAAGAAGATCAATGAAAGGAGAAAGAGAACAATGAAGTCTGAGATAAATGATTGACATTTTTTCAATGAAATATTTACTGTATGGTTGTCAGATTTTATTAAGAAATCCCCTAAATTTATGTTGAGACGCGTTCGATTAACCCGCATTTGTGTTCTCGATCACAATAAACTTTTGTTATATATTTTTAAAATTAAGAATGGCAGCCCTCTTGAACAACTGGCTTACCTGTTCCTGCCATCTAGATATTTCAATAAGTTCTGTAATTTTGTACGTTTCTAAAATGTTTACAACCTTTCACTATACAAGTTACAAAATAAGCCAAATCAAAGATATTGTGATTGCTGACAATAGGCAACGTAAAGAATGTACATTATTTAGATATCAATTGACTGGTTTGCTAACATCTAACTGGCGATCACTTAATATTTTATCGTCAGGATCTATCAAGAAGTGAAAAAAAACACAACGGAAACTTGTTGAAATACTTTTGTACTGAGATATCTATATTATACCAAAACCTGTAATATTGAATAAAGCCATTACATAATCTGGTATTTCAGACAATTTACATTATTTCAACAACTACAACTACAACAACAACAAAAAGAAGAAAAACAATATTCAATTCACTTTGTCTTATGTAAATTTGCTTTTAAAAATTATTTTAGTAAAAACACAATTTTTGTTTGTCATTGAAAAACTAAATAAAACCATGGCGACAAACACATGGGTCGACAACGTATTTTGTTCCATTTATAGGACATTCATCTAAATATTCTAACATATAAAACTATTTATAACATTTACATAGTGATTCAATAGATTAAACAGAAAT